TTATTCAAGGAAGCAACTAAAGTGCAGACACTAGGTGAACAGATTAGAGATGCTTAGGGAAGGATCTCAATGTGAAGGTCCTAGAATTGGTGACAAAGAGGTCAATGATGTGATGCTAATTGTTTTGTCCAATCAATGAATTTATTCAAAACTACATTAAAACTGCCATTCATCCATACAGGGCAATGACTTGAACTCACATCTTTTATGAATTATTATTAATTTTGATATGTTTTGGGAACAAAGTTGTCAGGGTATAAAATATTCTGAGAACAAAATTCATATATGTAACTTTTATGATTTGAGTAGCATTTAATAAAAATTGTGTCAAGGCAAAGTTAGATCACAATGTAAAATGCAGACTTTAAGGTGTAAGAAAAATCGGTTACACTTTATGTTGTACTTACTATAGGGTTAGGGTTAGGAATAGGGGTTGGTTTAGGGTTACTTAGTTGCATGTAATTATGCATAATTTATAGTTATTACTACAGTAATTACATGTAGCCTAACGTGTGTAACAAGGACACTAAAATAAAGTGTTATTAATATATGACTTTTTACTTGGTTACACCACATGACATTTTACAGTCATTAATTTGAAACTTGGCTTGAAAATGGTTTAAATGTTTTTCAAAACCATTAGAAACCCAGATTAATACAAAGATAGTTTTTTCTTTTCGTTATTAGGGACACTATGTCGTATCCGTCTGACTTGAACACAAAAGACTAAGTGCATATTTTCTGAATCTGAAGTCCAGGTAAAACCAGAGCTGTGACAATTCCTCACTGATGCGAATGTCAATATGAATTGCCTTCCTCACGACCCTCTGAAACAAACCAGCCACGTCTCAGATCTACTTTCTTAGCCTCAATGCGTAAACTTGCCATCTCTCTCCTCCAGAAATCAATAGCTTCCATTTCTGCTCTGTACACTGCTGAGTTGTGTCAAGAATATGTTAGACAGATTAATATCAAAACAAGCTGTGCCCACACCTCCCCGATTTCCTCTCCATGACAAGCTCTTCTGTTTGTTGCTTATGCAAGCAAATGCTGATTCTACAGAACTAAAAAGACAGCCATTCGCGAGAATTTCTCGCAGTTGTATTCATGTTCAGACAGCACAGAGGGCAACAAAACTTCCCGGCGTAATGTCAAACTCGAAAACTTCGACAAGAGCTGGAGTTAGGTATAACAGTTAATCCCCGGATGAATTTATGCCACATATTTGATATCTTGATACGCGCCGTCCTCTGGAAAACCACAAAAAAAAAGGAGATGAACAAGATTTTTCGGGCTCTTTTGTGTGGAATCCATGACATGAAAAGATTTAATTAAGATAAGAGACTGGTAATAATTAATTCTGCTTCCTTCTGTCAAGAACACAGCAATGGCTGAATAAATTACACAAGCCCTGCCTTTTATTTATTATCATTTCCACTTTCCCGAGGAAGCCGTTTGAGCTTTTCAAAGCTAAAGAAAGTTTGGCAGGGTCTCTGAAAGTAAGTCCACAGCTCGGGCCCACATAAACATCTCAGTCCTACATTCTACCACCTACTCAATCCAATCTGCTATTATGTTTTTTTGCAGGTACAGCTCGGCCCCGAGGGGGAAAACTCGCTGTGACAAACGCCAAACGGAAGGATGCATTCAGATGGAGTGTATTCATTACCACATGCCGAGAAGTGTAGGAGACAGCAAGGAGGGTTTGAGTTACCATGTCTGTATCTCATCATCTCATTTCCAACATGGCCCAAATTAAAGCGGGAATGCAAGGTGACCTATTGCTACAGGCGACATCATCTCATACGTAAATCTCAAACTGGTCAAACATCTGATCTGATGGTTATAAACTACCCAACACAATCCTGTCATTGTTTCTTTGACTCCTTCTAAAAATAACCAAACCAAGGGCATTCCAAGTACAAAATACCCTCAAGTTTATCGCTTGGCGCACACAACGTCGTAAGTGGGTTGGATATCAACAAACGAACATTTGTTTTACTGAAAGCAAGATGTTTTCCTCAAGCCAACTTTCTAAAACGCCAGAGAGATAATTAACAGGACAAAGCTCTGCCAAATCTTACACGAATGACCTTTGTGTGGGCAACATGGCCCTGAGTTTGAGAATCTGGCAGCGTTCGTTTTGCCGCTCACATTGCGACTTGAGCGGCTGAAACTCTAAAGGACATCGGCTTAAAGACAGCGAACAAACGGCCTACAAAATTACGCTAATTAAAGGTCGCTTTGTCAGGTTTCAGCTAGTGTTTAAACATCTTTTATTGAGTTGGAACAGGCAGATGCACATACAAAAGAAACTTCAATACTGATTGGTTTCTGTTATTTGAAAGGGAAATGCTTCAATTGTGCTGGTAATAGCGGGATACTTGGATGTCTGTGATGTGATTCCGTTTAATTAAATATGGATAATTTGGTCTGGGAATGTCATTATGCCCTTGGAATGGAGGACATGTTTTCCTTCTCATGCTTATTTTCCTAATGCACAGGCTTTTATATAAGTACATCTCAGGCTTGTAACGAATTAATATGGCAATGAAGGATTGGGGATGGAAGTGTAATTGGACAACCGATCTCCCTTGACGCTTAATGGCCTCTGAAGACAGCGGCCGCAGGGCTGGGATTGAGATAGCTGGGAGGAGAGCTTCTCTGCGGGCTTGTGAAGGTCTGGCACATAAAGAACCGTCGGTTTGAGAACTTGCAGAACAATCGGAAATGTAATTAAGAGCTGGCTGTGGCTTTTAAACACTCGGCTAGAGCGGAAACAAACAGACGGGGAAAAAGAAACATCAATGTATCGAAAACGTGCAGTGTGATCAATAGCCCACGGTTCGGAAAGCATCAAAGGGGGAATGTTTTGTGACTTCACTTGGCACCTCGCAATTTCTCTCAGAACTGCAGGGTTTCAAAGCAATCTCTAATGTCATTAAACTTCTATTAAAAAGCAGTTAGAAGTGTATATTGCCTCTATTTCTCTAGGAGTCAGACGTATACATTTTAGGTAACATTTTACGAGTTTCCGATCTCTTGGTAAAGAGTAAGGTTAATCAAAACATCAATCAAACATAATTACCAAGCAGTGCCACGTGGACAGTGTTTCAAGGAGATAATAACTATTGTCTTTTACGTAGCTGCTGCGAAATAAAATTAATCTCAAACTGGATTTTCAACACAAGCCTTTCCTCAAACCCTCAGACAGAACATCCTATGAAGCAGGTGATTGTGCAATTAATGTGCAAATCGAGTCTCGACCCAGCAGGGCCGTTTCTTCAAATGCAGTTTTAATCTACTGATACAAATGTTTCTTAAAGTTTTTTGTAAACAATTATAAAGATAAAATGATTTAAATTAGTGCTGCTGTCAAATCAATTAATTGCGATTAATCGCATCTAACATAAAAGTTTGAGTTTATATATTTATGTGTCTGTTTGTTTGTGTATACAACGTGTTTTGGAGGAAAAACATGTATTTCATAATGTGATTTCCCCCCCCCCGCATATTTTTTTAATGAAAGATTAAAAGGATAAACAATGCAGATTTTTTTTTTTTTTTTTTACAATATTCATCCGGAGCAAATTAAATGAGTGAGTGAGGGGAGGCGGGTGTGTGTATGACAAATTGCTGTCGGAGTGACGAGAGAGCAAGAAAGCGCAGCTGGTATTGTGTATATATTCTGCGGAAAATGAGTATTGAAAGCATTATTTCAGTATCGAAAAATCTATATTTCTGACAACACTACATTGCACTTAGTTTATTATTTCAGATGACTTTTTAAAAGACTACAATTAAAATATGTAAAGCCTATATCATATATAAAATTCAACCCACCAAAGTGGCTAGTAGGAGTGACTGCGTTACACGCCCCTCCTGAAATACACCCGTAATCAAATGCGGGTGTTAATGTCAAGCCCTGCTGGTGAACTAGTGATTTATTAGCGGGTCAATTAACTCACTCAAACGCATCATGAATGAGATTAATCAGATATATATACACACAACATGAACGTTAAAATTACAACTTATATCTGCACAAAATGCAAGTTAACTTGAACAAATTTAAATAATACTAAAACAACACTTATGATATTGTCTTTAATTCTAAACCAAAACTAAACTAAAACGAATCTATAAAACATTACTAAAAATTTACTAAATTTAAATTATATTTTTATCAAAAGAAAAACACTGACAAAAACACACAAAAATGTAAAAATTAGAGTGAACGCTCATTATTGTTTGTTTGCTACTCCTTTGGACATTCAGGTCTGGTTCGGTGATGACAACCACACTGAAATCTTTCAAAATGTTTGCACGTGTGCACTGGAGTTAATTATACGACATGTAATTTCGGCACATTAATACCCACACACATGCAGCTATTTTGTTTGAGTATTTACAACGGTGTCCATAATGAAGCTCCCTCCAGCTCATAAAGAGAAGCATCTCCACTGCCAGCAGCTCAGGAGTAACCTCCAAAGCCCATTTCATGTTGTTGCATATAAATATTCATTAACAGAGTGGGGAAACCAGCTGTTTCTCCCAATTAATCTGTGCAGAGATATGCCATTTGCCAATAAATTGTTGTTGTATAATTAATGACTCTCATTGCATGGTGACAACGACAGAAACAATACCTCATTTAATATTGAGATTTATATTCATAAACTTGGCAAAAGCAAGCAGCTAATCAGCTTCAGTAATAAACGGAGCTGCGTCTCATGTGGGAAAACTTTAGCCGCATACCCGAGAAGTCAGCCACCCTGCATCCCACCAGTCCAGATAAATCAAGATGTCAGGAGATTTCTACATGAAAGCAGATGTTCCTCCCTGCTTCTCGCTGACCATGTTAACAGGCTACACACAAGCAGACGATGGGAAGCGACGTGGTGAGGACACCCACTTCAAACAGCAAACGGGCCTGAGCTGAGATCATTATCTGGGCAGGTTGAAAACACTCTGGTCAGGAGAATTCTTATGGGACTTACCATCGGGAGGAGGAGCCGGTGTGAAGTGAACAGGTTTATCTGCAGAGGAAGAAGAGAGAGAGAGGCACATTAGTTAAAAGGAAGATGTCAGGACAGTCCCAGGCGGTCAGTAGTCGTTTTGAATACGAAGGGTAGACAGTGAACTGCATGATTCTTTCACAGAGGTTAAATCTCAAAAAGAATAGATTAAGAGAGATCAGTTGGAATATGAGATTAAAGGAATGTTCTGGGTTAAATACAATTTGAGCTCAATCGACAGCATCCATGGAGTGACATGCTATCAGTTACCACAGGAAATTAGTTTGCTGTAATGCTCTTACAGCACTGAAATAAATGTGAAAACATTTAAGTAAATTCAAGTAAAAAAGTAATATATATAGCCATAATACTTATACACTACCATTCAAAGTTTGGGATCAGTAAGACTTATTTTTTATTTTTTATAAATTAATACTTTTATTCAGAAAAATGATCAAAATTGATAAAATGTGACAGTAACTAACAACATTTATAGGGTTAAAAAAGTTAATAAACATGTTATAATGTTCTGTTGCTCATTCTATTGATTCTATTGAATATATTGAATACTAAAAGAAAGAAATGTATCATAGTTTCCACAAAAATATTAAAGCAGCACAAATGTTTTCCACATTGACAATAACAGAAAAGTTTACTTGAGTAGCAAATTAGAAAATTAGCTTTGGCACCAAAGGAATACATTTAATTTTGGAATATATTAAAATAGAAAACAAGTTTTAAATTGTAATAATATTTCACAAATATTATTATATTACTATTATATTTTTGATCAAATAAATGCAGCCTTGGTGAGCATAAGAAACTTATTAAAAGAAAACATTTAAAAAATCCAACTGACCCTAAACTTTTGAATGGTAGTGAATGTGTTAACAAGATCAGTGAGATGGAATCACTTTCACAGAATCTACATCAAGAAGCGACCCTTAAAAATGGCTTAATATAAAACTAAACCTTGTTGGACGGATGAATTTACACCAAAATGCGCCAAAAAAAAGAAAAGAAAAAAACCTGTGTTCTGGAGATAGATTTTGACATGTTTTTCTTGTGAATTTGACAACAAAAATTATTTTCTGTTGCTTTCTCTTGAAAGAGCCTTTTCAAATCACTGTCAGACATTCGTGAAGGCTACAACTTTATCATTTTAAATACTATAGAGACTCTGAATATGTGTTTTTAAACAACTTGAATGTTTTAACGGTTTTTAACGCTTTCATTTATAAAAAAAATAAAAAAAGCCTTTTCCAAAATATTTTCTTTTGTGTTCTACAGAAAAATACAGGCTTGGAATGATGTCAGGGTGAGTAAATAATGACAACATTTACATTTTTGAGTGAACGATCACTTTAAGCTCTTACACTTATCAATGTTAAAATATTCAGACTACAAAACCAGCCAAAAATGTTGGGCTGAAACTCATTAAAATCAGCGCCGGCTGAAAGCGAGAACTGCCACAGAAGTTGGAAGCGACCCCACTCAGTCTAACTTTCCTCCAAACCGAAGTGATTTTAAAAACACTGAACTCGCGTACCTTATTACTCTTGACAGAACCAGCTTTTCGACAACATGCGCATGAAGCCATCTAGCTAAAGTGCAGCTACAACACCCTGCTTCTGCAGGCGGAAATAACCAACGCCACAAAACTATCACATCAATTGCCCAGCCAGTCGGTTGCGCTTACATACACACACACACTCCCACACACAGGGCTGGAGCTGGAATCTCTACTCCTCTCTTCACCAGCACCCCCAACTGCCAGGATAGAGTTTAATTTTAGGCTCACTTCAAATTGCTTGTCAACAACTGAGCGCAGGGAAGATTGGAAAGCCGGCACTGGAGAGAGAGACAGAAAAACAGAGGTCTGAGAGAACGAGGAAGAGAGAGAGAGGGGGGACGGCTTGCTGTGCTTTTCTCCTTGAATAATGAAGTGTCTGTTGAACTGGTCTGAGAGTCAATCATGACAGTTACAGCGTTTCATCCTCCAGGAAACATTGCCATAGCTGAGGGTGAATAACACACACACACAGATGTGTATCATAGAGATAAAACATATACTGCTCACATACTGTAATGCATAACCCTGTGCACAGCTCGACTTTCTTATATGTCCAGTGGCAGTAGAGGACAAAACTACTGTCTGTGCAGGTCTCACGGGAACGTTTGTTTCACATGTAAAGGATACACAGCTGAGAAATTCAACACAAGGTTCACCTCAAGCCTATTTGCTTTACTTAAAGGGATAGTTAATCCAAAACTGAAAACGAGTGTCTCAGTGCATACAATGAGAATCAAATGAGTCCAAAGCTGTTTGGACTACACTATACTGTATAAAGCTCTGATGTATGCTAGCACAGCTATGTAGGCAATCTGATGCCAGGGACAGGTGATCATTTTACAGTTTAGAGGTTTTTAAACAAAAATATTTCACCAATAGTATTAGTATTTAGAAAGTAATGTAAAAAAAAAATCAATGTTAAATATTGTTGAAGATAGGGAGAAGAAAAGTATCCCAATAAATTACCTCATGATACTATACCAATATTCTCAGGCTAAGAATCAACATTGTTCATTTTTTTTCCACAATGTTTTCACGATAAGTGAGATTAAACAATTAACCACAATTCAGAGAAAAGTACAGTAGCATTAGGCCAATGTAGACTCTATTCTTTCTATTCAAACAAAATTCAAACTGAGAACGAGCGAAGAACATAATTTCACAAAGTACTGAAATAATTGAGAATAGATGAAGAGAAACAAGTTAAATATTGCAGAATAACTAAACAAATTGATATATTAGAAAATCAAGTGAATTGTGTGTATGTATCTCATGTCACTAAATAATTTAAATTGAAATCAATATTTTATTTGAAATTGTATTTAATCATTTATTTGGTAAAAAGCCATGTAAAAAGCACGATATAGTCAGCCAGCTGTTACCCCAAATAGACCTCAACGTGAACTGTCAGGCAGACTGTCATATCTGTAAATATCTGTGCATAAATGACGGCCATATGTTTTAATTCAGTGTATGTCCTCCTCTTTCCCTTTCTGTTTTATTATCTAGTTTGCTGATGTGTATGTATGAGCTGATGAATTTGGTTGTGGAGCTGAGCAGCTCTGGTCCTGTGTAGCCTCACTTCTCTGTGCCTTCTAAATGAAAATGGAAATGACAAACCTTTGGTCTGTATCCCACTCCAACAAGCTTTCAAACGCTACGATGCACCTCTCCATGTTAATGGTACTCCTTTCACTCCATCCTGTTTTTTACTCTTCTTTGAGGAGCAGGGATGGAGTGCTCTAACTGAGTTTATGTATAAATCTAATGGAATCTGTCTGGATTAAATCGATTTTGCGACATGGTCGGTTTATAAATGAACCTCACACTCAGACTCCTTTATTGAGGGATGGAGAGGGCAAATTTTCTGAATTTCATGAAGGGCCCTTTTTGGTCTTTTAATATAGATCTAATGTAGAGGCACCGCGGATCTCTTTAAGTGAGGGCACAGGTAGGATTATGAGAAATGAGGTAGGTAATGGTTTACAGAGGGCGCACAGGACTGGATGCTCTCTCTTTTGCCTCTCACTGTTTTCTCCTTTCTAGAGCCTTTATTCCAGCAATACTAAACATATTCCTATCCAAAAAGGTGTATATTATTGTCTCTATAAAGGAGTATGTTACATAATTTATGTAAATATTTAACAGTGTTTTAATATTTAGGCCCTAGAAACCCAAAATATATATATATATAAAAAAAAATCAAATCAAATCTCTCAAATCAAAGGTGAGACTTTCACTAAATACAGATCTAAATCAGAGTGTGAATGAGTATGATTTTTGTTGGGTCCCTTGTGTTGTATAATTTGTCAAATATTTGCAACAACACATTACATTTATCTGTAAAAGTTTTAAATGTTAATTGTTTCTGGTATAACTTCACATGGCATCTTGCGTGACACCAGAAAAAAAGTTGCTAAACTCAAGTGTAAACAGACCAAAAAAAAGGTAAAGATGGACAAAAAAAAATTCAATAATATGATCTGTGCAAGCTTCCCGTTAAAATAGTCTTCTCAATTTCAATCTCATTAAGAGGCCATCAGCACTGACGCATAGCAAAACCACTTTCTAACCAATTAAAATTTCTTCTGTAGCACAGCATCCTTACAAAATATATGTTTACCTTTCTGCTATGAATTCATACTGTAGTCTTAGATAGCGCAATTCTATGAATGTGAATTCACAGAGGAAGAAAACGCAGGATGCAACGATTCAAAAAGGCAGATAAAAACCAATAGAGATAGTAATACATCCAAAACAGGAAAAGAGCAGTGTTACCTGCAGCTCCATGTCATCAAAGCGCATTTTGACATGCTCTGGAGCTCACGTTCCGTCTCCAATCTTTTCTTTGTAAGCACAGTGCCAAATCTATCTGGCAACACACACCGGCTGGCGGGGCACCTTAAGATACCAAAGCGTTTGCAGATTCACTCAAGCAGATACAGTAAGCACTGAAGCTAATGCCAAGCTTTCACATCCAAAGGCATTTAATCTGCCCCCTTTATCCCACTGTGCAGTCTAAATACCACTGCTTCAGGGATGACAGAATGCCACCGAGCTGTGTTTTTAGACACAAGCGCTCAAGCACTTTGTAGGATGAGGACAGTTTATCTGTGTCATCCTTAATCATTTCACTGTCAGGCAGGGGATCGAAGCCTACGCATTAGGGATTAGTTTTTGATTGCCATCGATCCTTATTGAACCATCCATCCGTCAATGTGTCTCCCTCTGCCTCCGTGAACATCACTGTAAGAAAACTACAGAGCACACAAGGGAAAGAACCACTATTCTGAAACTTATCAGGCAACAAAAATTCTACGGGGTCATGCACAAACACAGACACACAAACACACATATATATATACATACGCTGCATGTCATGTTTCACTAACTGTGACCTACAGTTATTGAGGAAGAGGAGTACAGCGAAGCCAAGCGTGGAAGTGGCCAGCAGAATGAGACAGATGTTGCAAGGAATCATGAAGTACCGCACGACCAGCGACACTTTGTGCTGGTACATGCGGTCCCGCTCTGGGGGCGGCGTAGGGTACTGACAACTGGTCATACTCCACTCCGCGTCTTCCCTAAAGTACGCCAAGTTGGCAAGCGTTCCAAACAAACTCAGAGAAAAAGGATAGACTAAAGAAATCCTAAAACGGTTTCAGCTTAAATTCCAGTGGCACTTATTTTCACAGTTTCTTCCTGAAGAACGTAGGCAAATGCTTTTATCAGTCTCCAAGCAAAGCATTTTGTTTCCAAATTACAGCCGCTCTGGAAGGGTACCGGTCCTACAGTCCCCAACCCTCCAGCAATCTCTCCATTTCTTTCCCAAGCACAGGGGTGGTTTGTCATGAAAGGTTAGTGTGCAAGTTCTCTTGAGTGTGTTTGACAAAAGCTCCACTGGACCCCTGGCCTAGATTGGTACCACGGACAAGTGAGTGCAAACAATCCCCACTGCACTTTGTACTTTAAATCCGCAAGCACAGAACTCCACAGCTTGGTGAATTAGTAATGAATTGGCTCTTGATCTTCTTTACGGGTGCTTGCAATTTTTTATGGCACAATGGTGTTCCCTTCTTTCAAGACGTGCTGCCACCTGTCTGTCCGACAGCGGCATGAAGATGCCAGGCTGCTCTCGTTGTGGCATGTGTCAGGATTCACTGCAGGTGTGGCTTGGCATCATGCTAGCCGTCTGTCCCGGTAAACACTCAGTTGCTCACAAGCTGGAATTGGAGTCATTAGCTTCACACACACACACACACACAAACAACATACAAACTTTTGGAGAGTGACCCCTTCCGAAAATCCTCCAGGAGAACTACAACACTAGGCTCGTCTTCGGTCGTAAAAGTCAAAACTTTTCTCCCCCCGCCCCAGGCTGAATCTCCTGAATGAATGAATAATTAGCCCACAGAGAGTCAGCAGCTGTCTTCGGCCAGCTCAACCATATGCCCTGGAGAGCAGTAGGGTCTTTTTTCCACAACCCCCCCCCCCCCCTTCCTTCAACACAAGTCCTCTCTGGTGACCTCCCCTCTTTTTCAGAAAGCACTTTGGATGAAGCGTACAGTCGAAAGTTGAGGTGTCTGGTGAGTAGACTCTTCCCCAGATGCTGCTGTCAGCGCAGAGGCGCGCTCCTTGATCCGGGCAGCCGGAAACAAGATACGAGGAACAGCTGAGATTGCCACAGTACGTGTAAAGCAAACAAGACAACTGCTTTGGACAGTGTTGTTAGTTCTCAGTCCTTTTTAGCGGATAACGCTCGAGACAAGACAAGCTTCTGTTGTGGTCTCAGCCAAGTTGTTTTTCGCTCTGAAAAGAAATGAGAACGGAAGAGCCACTTTTTTCAATGGAGTCAGAAGCTATTTAAAGCTCTTTCTCTCTCCGTTTAGCTCTCTTAAGCATCCATTCCTGTGCTGGTGTTCCTCCTTGTGTCCTGGACTTAAACTCGGTCCAGCTGAGTCTCAGAGGAATTGTTCACTGCCAGCCAAAACATACACTCTGATCGCTGCTATTCATGTCAAAAAATCCCCCCGGCAGCAGGTACTCTGCCTGCGTTCAGCCAGCGCTTCTCAGCCAATGAGCCAGGGAGCGGCACGCACAAATGAGTACAGCCTGAGAGGAAAAAAGCAGGAAAAAAAGAAAACAAACTGGCCGATGACACTTAGTCCACCTCTCTGTTACGTTAAACAATACACAGAACGTGTTTTCTGCATCCTTACGGCACGCACGCTCATGACTCCCTCTCTCTGCTTCGAATGAAGGAGAAGACAGTGAGAGGGGGAGTGGATGAGGGGCTGTCTCTAACAAAGGGTTGGGAGGGGTGAGAAGGGGGAGGCAGTGAGGGAGGGAGGGGGAAACCGAGAATAAAAGCTTTTGGAAATACTTGGGAGTGTTTTAAAGGGGGGAGCTGGAATGACAGCGAAAACACAAAAGGGCAATTGGACCAAAAACATGTCAAGCCTTTTGAGTTGATAGTGAATTAAAGGAGAGAGAGTAGGCAACAATTGTACTAAATTGTAATTGCAAACCTTGTGGTTTAAATGGGAAAGAGACCCTGAAAAAAAGATGTATTCTCGGTTTTGGTGATTTTTTTATGAGCTTTTTAGGAAAATAGACCCTTTATAATGCAAAAATGATTTAATGGAGAGTGTAGCCAACAATCTTCATCTTCTCGTGACACCATGCCATGCTTTTACTCATCTGTCATACTGTGAAATATAAAAGCAAAAATGAGCAAAAATGAATATTCAGTAGAAGTGAAAATTAATATACTGGCAAAAGATCAGTGGGAAATGTGTTTTCTAATCCATAGCATTATTTCACTAGGTATCTCGCCTATGAATGTTTATTTTATGCTCTAAGCCACATAATGAGGTCAACAGCACAGAGAGCTAATGCTTCTTTTTATACCCCCCATCCTACCTTCAATACTGACTGGCATATACACAATGGATGTTCATCTTCACAAAGAAGCCAGTACATATTATCAATTATTTATACGCTCTGTTTCTTAACCCACTCCTCTCTGGATACCCTTCATGCTAGCACACACACACACACACACACACACACACACACACACATACACACTTACAAGGTTACACTCCGTTCCGCATAAAGGGCCGTTTATCTCTTCGGACACAGCCTATTCTTTGACTTTATGGGCCCCATGGAATTGATCCCGATGTACACAGCAGAGAACATGGGGCCAGCTGGGCCTTCTAGGGTTCTAGGTTCACTCACCAGCTGTGGTGCTGTACCCTTAAACAACACCCACACTCCACCAGGGCCATTAATCTCACTTCAGACTGACACGTAGACTAAGAAATAAGACAACTGGGCATATAGTGACATTCATGCGGGCTACAATGACCTGAAACACCCATGGACCAATAAGGAAATCGAAGAGGACGCCACATCCGTTCGATGCCACACACCCTCTGTCATGACTCGAATAAGACCTAATTTGACTTCAAAGCGGTCTGTAATGCATCTTTAATGTGCATGCTATCTCAGAAGGTTAACATCTCTCTCAGTGTGATCTCTCAGCTGGCAACTTCCATTAAGAAACAACCACAAACTCTCTGCACTTCCCGCACTTGCATGACGAGCAGCCTCAAGGCTTTTTATGGGCTTCTGCTTTCTCCTTCTGCTATGTTTCTGGTATAATGCATGTGTGCTGATTTCACGATCGAAGGAATAGGAGTAAAGCATGGAGTGGTGCACTTCATCTATTTTAAAAGAGCGATTAGTTATTAAACTGAAAATCTATAAAAAAATCTATCTATCTATCTATCCATCCATCCATCTATCCATCCATGGAACATTCAACTGTCCATAGTTTGTTCGTTCAAATATCCATCTCTCTGCTCATCCATTTACCTGTCCATCCATCTATCCTTCTATTCATCTACCCAAATAGTCATCTAACTATCCACCCACACATTTAACCCTTCATTCGTTCAACTATCCAAATATCCATCCCTCTGCCCATCCGTTTACCAATCTATCCATCCATCAGTTTCAACAATGGTTCCACCAACAGAGAAACCCAGTTTCCTCCAAGTGATAAACATATTCTTGAACATGGAGCTTCCATTACAGCAGCTAGTTGAATGTCTTATTGTAATGACTATCACCAATAAATCAGGTTGTTTTGATTATGATCAGTCCCCGGTACTCAACTCATTATACTACATTGCACAAGCAGTGAAAAATAGACGCGAGACAGTGCAGGAGATAAAGAGGGAGGTGGAGACCGCCAGCAGGCTCTGGGTGAGAATGAGCTAACTGCACCTCCAGCCAGATCTACTTTGGAAGCTGGGAGTTCCTTACTCCCCTGCTCTGTCATATGGCTCGCAAGAATAGAAAGCGACGCCACACCACCCAAAAAGTGGGGATTTTTCCATCGTGCTGTCTCCCGGAGTGCCGATGTAACTGTAACAGAGACATTACCCATGGGAAATGACATCAGTATAATTCAACGTGAGAACACATCTGCCGACTGGCCTGCTGCTCTGTGAGGCACAGCGCCTGTCGACAATGCATCCAGGTGTGAGCTATCACAGAGATGAAGCTGCTCATTCAATATCTACAGTCAATTTCTACAGACTCGGGCACCCAAAAACCATATGGCGAGATTCCAATCCTGATTTCCACTGAATGTTAATCAATCCAGTCGTTTTTCTGTGAGCAACTCAAGTTTTGAGGCTGTTTCTCATATGGTTCTGTTTGTTTCCTACAGCCCATGGGCTTCACCTGACAGATGTCTGAATCAAATCACTGTCAATTTGCCAGATTCAAACTGTCCATTTTGCTGCTCTGCTATGACTGATCCTAATCCAAACAAGTCTGAGGAAACGGATGGATAACTATTGTTCGCAGGTTATGTTTGCCTCAACTGCAGTTAAACTACCTTTATGAAAACGGTAGCAATTAGGGCTGGGTCATACAACGGTATATTCCATGCGACTGCAGAAATGTGTCAACCAGCTGACATTCTACTAATTTTTATACAAATATTTTCCCGTTATGGTGACTAATTCCATCCTAATTGTTCTAAATAAATTAAAATAATTCATAATCACTTTAAATGCTACAAGTGAACTTGAAAAATGGATATTTGTTTTGAAGTTTGCTAAAACAAGTACATTTAACAGAGTTTTTTATGATGGTTTAGGACCATTTTTCTTATTTGAATAATTCAAAAGGAGTTCTGCTCTATAAATGTGATTTATAAAAGTGATTTTTATCTGTTTGCACAGTGTGAGGGGCTGTTCCACTCTACTTCACTGCTATCTACATTGTAGAGGTCACTGGAGAGGTCTCTCTATCTCTCCATCTATTGTGTGTGTGTGTGTGTGTGTGTGTGTGTGTGTGTGTGTGTGTGTGTGTGTGTGTGTGTGTGTGTGTGTGTGTGTGTGTGTGTGTGTGTGTGTTTGTGTGTGTGTGTGTGTGTGTGTGTGTGTGGCCTCGGTACAATCCACTAAAGACCATGGCAGATAAAACACAATTACCCTAATCCTTCTTTCCTTACCCAGTCCTCACCCTAATACCTATTAGTCGATGTGTGCTCAGCAGACGGTCGTATACCGTACATCACATATTGATTTTGGTTGAGGATACCCACCGCCACTCAGGTTAAGTGCTTTAGGACTGATGAAAACCACCATCACATAAATCCAACCTTCTCCCATATATCAAGGAAAGAGCAAATAAATCATTCTATAGGAAGATTTTATTACTCAGATGTTGCTCTTTCATTGCTCAGGAAAGTTAATTAGCAAATTTTGTTACGTTGTCTAGCGATTTACCATATATCAGTACCATATCAGTAATTGGCAGATATTAGAGATTTTATTTATCATTCGGTATCAGCTAATATTGGATGTGCATTTATCTTTTTTTTAGATTTAGAATACCTTTACAGTCATTTAACAGTTAGCCTAATCTTTAAAAAATAATAATTAAATAATAAAATGTAAAATGTAATCTTTAGCAGATCACAATAAAAAAATGTCATTGATAGATTTGCAAATTATATTTTTTAATGCCTAAATTCACTAGTAGCATTTACATTTTATTTTATTTAGTAAATAAATAATAATGATAATAATAATAAATATAAATAAAATAAAAAGAGAAATAATCGAGACATTATAGAATAGAATAAAATAGAATAGAATAGAAAGTTTAATTTTGCCAAGTTTTGGAGGAGTTCAAAGTGAAATCTCAGACTGTGATGTCCTGGCAAATCTGAGCACAGTTTGAGACATTGTTGGGATCTCTCTCAAAATTTTAGAAAAGACAAATCTGAGATGACTATGTTCGTTTTC